GTTTTCCACTTATCGTGTTTACGGTGTTGCATATATGCTGAAAAAAGTGAAAAAAAAGCATAACTTCCCTAAAAATGACCCGATCATGCTGATTTTCGAACTTGACCGGCGTATTATAAATATTCATCAGTTCTGTAACTTTCAAGCCAAAAGGTAAAACGGTTTTCCACTTATCCTGTTTACGGTGTTGCATATATGCTGAAAAAAGTGAAAAAAAAACATAACTTCCCTAAAAATGGCCCGATCATGCTGATTTTCGAACTTGACCTGAATATTATGAATATTCATCAGTTCTGTAAGTTTCAAGTCAAATCGTAAAACCGTTTTCCACTTATTGTGTTTACGGTAAAAGTGCACGCCAACGGCAACGGCGACGACAGACGCAGGTGACGGCTATATGTACAGACACATCTGTGTCTGTACATAAAAAGGCTAATAACTTCATCAAAACTTTACTGATCAAGCTTATTTTCAAACTTGATCTGTATTAGTCAGACTTATCACTCCTGTGAGTTGCAAGACAAAAGGCTGATTGGTTTTCCTTAAAATGCGTTATCAGTGTTGCATATATGCTAAATAAAGAAAAAAACAGCATAACTTTTGTAAAAAAAAATAGTCCAGTCAAGCTTATTTTCAAACTTAACCTACATATTATGAATATTAATCAGTTCTGTAAATTTCAATCCAAAAGGAAAAACGGTTTTCCACTTATCGTGTTATCGGTGCTGCATATTTGCTGAAAAAGTGAAAAAAAAGCATAACTTCCATAAAAATGGCCCGATAATGCTGATTTTCGAACTTTACCTGCGTATTGTGAATATTCATCAGTTCTGTAAGTTTCAAGCCAAAAAGTAAAACGGTTTTTCACTAATCGTGTTATCGGTGTTATATAAATGCTGAAAAAAAGTGGAAAAACAGCATAACTTCCCTAAAAATAGCCCGATCATGCTGATTTTCGAAATTGACCTGCATATCATGAATAGTCATCAGTTCTGTAAGTTTCAAGCCAAAAGAAAAAATGGTTTTCCACTTATCGTGTTATCGGTAAAAGTGCACTGCGACGACAGACGCAGGTGACGGCCATATGTACAGACACATCTGTGTCTGTACATAAAAAGGGAACAACACTCACTCACACTTGAGGGAAAATGCACATCAGCTTTAGAAGAGAAACACGACAACAAACCTCAACTAGCGTGACCTAAATAGGGCATATGACTCTTGGTTCTAGCCTCAAAGGGCAATTAAGAACGACCTAGAAACATGGGCGTAAGTTGAATATGAGAGAAATGAAAAGAGAGAATGACATGGTGGCACTTACCCATCTCCAGTAGCTTGGATTTCAGTCTATTGAAGATGAATTTTCCTGTGGCAGTTATTTGACGTTCGGGCTAAGAGCTGCGTGTTATTTGTACATGTACATTTCCCAGAGCGACGAGTCCGTATGGATTGAAGAGTCGAATTTACAGAAGCACACTATGGGAGAAAGACGAAACATTCGGTGTTTTGTGCTAGTAAAGAATTTATCCTCAACTACGATGCATTAGCGTAGGATCACACGGCGGTTCCCCTAAGAAATTCGCGCTCATTTCGCGTACATTGTTTTCCTCTGGAGTGCAACGCAATATGTCCATCATGCTGCTCTGTGTGCTGTAAAGTTATTACACGTTCACAATTGCCCGCTCTTAGACTTCCAATCGTAGATTGTCGGCAGGGGGCGTTGCTGTCGTCACCATGTTGTCAGTATGAACGCGGGGGTGTCGTGAGTGTCATGAGAGTGATGCCCAAATTTCATTATTGTATTGTATATACACCTACGATTGAAATGCATTCAGTGTTTTCATACCTGAACTTTTTTGTTTAAAAAGACAAAAATATGCATTTACTTCGGAGGGAAGAATCAATGTTATAAAGATTTTTGAAGGAAAACCACGCACGCCTCTCCCCCAATTATGATTGACCGTGTCCTTGCATCTTGTTGACATGATATCAA